CCCAGCCCTGCCAATGTCTGCGTGTGAAGTTCCTCCTCTGAGGAGGGTCACGTTTCTGTCCTCACCCCCATCTTCCTGTGTGGCTTCCTCTGAACCCACAGCTCCCAGTGCCTGAGAGAAGAACCCTGAGGAGCAGACTGTCCCCAGCGGGCCCTGACACCTCCACCCAGACATGCTGCTGCTACTGCTGCTGGCTCTGCTCTGGGGGATGGTGGGAGGGCAGCAACAGAGAGGGCACTGGAAGGGTTATACCCTGGAAGTGCAGAGGGAGGTGATGGTGCAGGAGGGTCTGTGTGTCCATGTGCCCTGCTCCTTCTCCTACTCCTCAGAAGGCTGGACAGACTCTGACCCTGTTTCTGGCTACTGGTTCCGGGATGGGGCCAATACAATACGCGATGCTCCAGTGGCCACAAACAACAAAACTCGACAAGTACAGGAGGAGACCCGGGGCAGATTTGACCTCCTTGGGGTCCCCGAGATGAGCAACTGCTCCCTGAGTATCAGAAATGCCAAGTGGAGTGACCGTGGATTATACTTTTTTCGGATGGAGCAAAGACAGAGCATAAACTGGAACTATATACACAATAAGTTCTCTCTGCGTGTGACAGGTAAGGCCCAGCTGCAGGTGTGACCACAGGGGGAGGTGCTGGGGACCCCAGGGAGGTGGTGGGAGCCACAGGGAAAGGCCGGGCTGTGACCCCCATCCTGGGAGGGGTTGGGCGAAGCCTGTAGGGCTCAGGGGAGGAGCTGGACCACAGTCCTAGCTCCTCTCAGGGCCACACCTTGGACTCTCCTTTCTGATGCTGTGTGTCCCCTCCTCCTCCCCAGCCCTGACCCCCAACATCCTTCTTCTGGGGACCCTGGATTATGGCCACCCCAAAAACCTGACCTGCTCTGTTCCCTGGACCTGTGAGAAGGGATTGTCCCCCAAGATCTCCTGGGCTGGACCCTCTGTGGACCCCCAGGAACCCACCACTGGCCACCTCTCGGTGCTCACCTTCATCCCACAGCTCCAGCACCATGGCACCAACCTCACCTGCCAGGTCACCTTGCCTGGGGCTGGTGTGACCGGGATAAAGATCATCCATCTCAACGTGACCTGTGAGAGAGCTGGGCTGGGACACCTGGGGCCCTGCTGGGGGTGCTGGGACCTGGGGTCCAGGTGAGGAGGGTTAAGAGGATGCTGGCTCCACCCTCCCCCTTGGTGTGGCTCCTGGGGCAGAGCCCAGCATCCACCTGACCCTCAAAAGTGACTCAGGGCTTCTGTGTCTTTCTGCCCCAGACTCTCCTCAGAACTTGACTGTGACTGTTCTCTTAGGAAACAGGACAGGTAGGATGGCCCTCCCTGGGCTGTGGGAGCAGGGCCTCTTTAGTCAGGGCATGTGGGTCCTTCCTTAGCTGGATTCTCTCTGCTCGCCTTAGACCCCTTTGTTGGTGAACCCCGGGCCCCTCCCCAGAATCAGCCCCCACCACCCCTCCCTCCCCTCAGACTTTCTCACAACCCCTCGGTCCACAGCAAGGACAGGGCAACATTCACAGGCAGAGCCAGCCTGAGTTCCCTTCTCACCTGTCTCCTGAATGCTCCTTCAGCTTCGACTTTTTATTTCCCCAATAGTTTTATGTACCTCTAGATGAGAGATGAAGTCACATGGGTGAAAATTCAAAACACACACAGAGTCTGTCCTCAGGTGCCCATCCCCCTCCCCAGAACCCACCAGTCTCTCCACAGGACACTCTGAGCCTCGGTCTGTTCCCCTGAAGGCCCTGAGAGGTGGTTTGACAC